TTCCTTCCTTCCTTCCTTCCTTCCTTCCTTCCTTCCTTCCTTCGACTAAAATTTGGGTGTTTTTATTATATCGAAACCTGTGATAAGAAACATAGGGAAAAGGACCATACTCTACAGCTTGCTACTGTGACCGCAAACCTTTGGAATTAAATTTGAAAATGTTAAGTGGTTGATGTAGAAAACTGCAATAAAGCAGTAGAAATCATATTTGTATTCCAAAAAAAGAAAAAACGTCTTTTGTTTGGGTATTTATGTCAGAGTTAGTGATAATTCACGTAGTTTCAGCTAGTAATTATGTGTTAATAAGCGTTTTTCCTTAATTATTTTTTCTCTCTTAGAACGGTATCGTATTCAGAGTGAACAGTTTGAAGATCTTTGGCTCATAACAAATGAACTTATTATCCGCCTTCAAGAATATTTTGAAAAACAGGGAATCAAAGATTTTGCCTGTTCTTTTTCTGGATCTATGCCCCTTCAAGAATATTTTGAGTTGATTGATCATCATTTTGAGGTGTGTACGATCGTAACTCATATTACCTGCAATTTTTCTATATATGAAAGAGAAAGAGATGCTACAGAGGAAAGAACTCTAGTGTACTTGGCTATTAAATCTAGTGCTTCAAGTAGTTATTTTATGTGGATGGTAGATTTTGTGTATCTGTTCCTGCCCTCTTGCCCAGTTTGTGGTCACTTGCAGATATTAACAGAGTGGCTGCCTGGAGCTAACATGTGTTCTGGCTTCAGAACAGAGCTGATTTAATTCTCCCACATGGGGACTTAACCTTTGACCCCAATAACCCAGTGTTAAAACTGAGCTTATCGGCAGCCATTTGGCTAACTAATTCTAGCAGGCCATAAATGAGGTGTGATTATAAAGTAAGGTGATTTTTCCTTTTCTTTTTTAACAAGCACACCAGAACTTCTGCATCTGAATGAGGGTTAGCCACATAAAATATTCTTCAGTTTCTGGCACAATGGGCACTTAGTAAATGCTGAATGATTAAATGTCTAAACAAATAAGATCTGACAGTGACTGTGTTACCCGAGTATTTTTTGCATTTCTTCTGTGGAAGAGCCTGTGTTAATTGTCCTGAGTATCATGATGGTATAAAATCTTCATTCTTTGAAGACTGATTTGATATTTGAAAATAGTCAGGGGTCATGTTTCATAAGTGAACTAGACAAATGACAGTCGTTGTTTAAAAAATCTCATGTGTTAAAAAAAAAAACCCACCAGATTCTACTTACTTATTTGCCCATAAGTAGACTCTGTAGGCAGTTACAAAGGGGGGAGGGGGATCTCAAAAGGATTTTGAACGTTATTCAAGGAAGCATTGGTTCTCTAGCATAACTGCTTTTTAAGGAATCAATAGGTTTTTGCATTTCAGTTTATAAACAATGATGTGTGGTATGTATGTGACAGAGAGAATATATCATGTCATGTGAACATTCTACCTATTGTTTAATCCCTTGGACATTCTAAGAACATTGACTTTAACCTATAAAGACTTCTTTCTTTAGTAGAGTGTGAACATAAAGAGAAAATTTTAATGACAAATAACATGTCATTATCAAATAAATTGAACTTACTTGGGTTATCTTTCATCTGTGCTGATAGTATTTTTTTTTTTTAAAGATTTTATTTATTTGACAGAGAGAGAGAGCACAAGCAGGGGGAGTGGCAGGCAAAGGGAGAGGGAGAAGCAGGCTCCCTGCTTAGCAGGGAGCCTGATGTGGGGCTTGACCCCAGGACCCTGGGATCATGACCTGAGCTGAAGGCAGACGCTTAACCAACTGAGCCACCCAGGCGCCCCTGTGCTGATAGTATTTTGTAGGACAGTATGCTTTTGGCCAAATCATGGCACCAAAATTGACATTTGGGAAATATATTTAGGTATTTTAAGGATTGAGAACCTTTGCAATCTTCTAGGATATATTTAGAAAAATTCATGCTTCACTGTGCAAAACTGGGTTCTAGTGGTTTATGGAAGAGTCCACAAAAAGACTATATTAATTATGTATTTGTGATATTTAAGACACAAAATATTAGATTCTGATTGACTGTAAATTTGACATACAGTTTGCCCTTATTTGCTGGCTGGTAAATCCCTGGAGTTTCCACATCAGGGGCATTTTCTTTCTGGGAGGGGTTTAGGGAACAAGATGAACTACAGGCACTTCCATTTGTTACTCGAAGTTTGTTTGTTTGTTTGTTTAAAAGATTTTATTTATTTATTTGACAGAGACAAAGTGAGAGAGGGAACACAAGCAGGGGGAGTGGGAGAGGGGGGAAGCAGGTTTCCCGCTGAGCAGAGGCGGGGCCTGAGGCGGGGCCCTAGGCGGCGCTCAATCCCAGGATCCTGGGATCATGACCCGAGTCCAAGGCAGACGCTTAATGACTGAGCCACCCAGGCGCCCCTGTTACACTACGTTTAAAAGGAGAATCATTAGGGCGCCTGGGAGGCTCAGTTGGTTAAGCGACTGCCTTTGGCTCAGGTCATGATCCTGGAGTCCCGGGATCAAGTCCCACATGGGGCTCCCTGCTCAGCAGGGAGTCTGCTTCTCCCTCTGACCCTCTTCCCTCTCGTGCTTTCTATCTCTCATTCTCTCTCTCAAATAAATAAATAAAATCTTTTAAAAAATAAATAAAAGGAGCATCATTATACTTCCTTTCTCTCTGGCCCCACTCTCTGCTTTTTAAAAAAAATATGATTTTAATCTTTGAATTAAGATGGCTTTTGGAATCCAAGTGTCCCTTAGTGTTAGCTCCATGAAGGCAGAAATTTTTGTCTGTTTTAGTCATTGCTATAATTTTAGCGCCTAGAGCAATGCTTGGCCCTGAGATCAGTAGTATTTGTTAAATGTTGAAATTCTGGCACATGAAAACATTTCAATCACTGATGTTTGGTTACACATTCAATGGAATGATAACCTGGCTGATGTGTTAGTCAGTATTGAAAGTGTCTTCTAAAATTTTTTTGTTTCATGAATTTAGTAAATAAAATATTACAGCTGGAAATTATATTATTAAAAGAGTGTATTATTGATAATCAGGCTAATATTCTTTTTTAAAAATTTAGTAATTTAAAAAAATATTTAACTTTTGGTCATGAAAGTGTTTTTTTTTTCCCTTCAAGAGAATAGTCTTTGATTTAGTTACTTAGTGCTTCTGAAAATGGGATTAAAAGACAGTAATAAAATTCCAAGTTTTTTTTTTTAATCATGTGTCTGGAGAATGCATACACTGAAAAGGAAGTTTGGTTTGATATAAGATATGTAAACTGTAATATGTTTGATTTCTGAACTTTTTTTTTTTTTGAGAGGGGGGAAAAGAGAGAGCGAGGTTGAGCAGGGGGGTAGGGGCAGAGGGAGAGGAAGAAAGAGAATCTTAAGCAGGCAGAAACTCACGACCCTGAGATCATGACCTGAGCTGCAATCAAGAGTCGGATGCTTAACCTACCAAGCCACCCAGGTGCCCCTGATTTCTGAAGAAAATGCTATTTATTTCAGGACTAGTTGATGACTGTTTTGTAAAGTTGAGTTAGCAATTCACATAATCTGATTTCATGGAGTGTTCCTTCTACTCTATGACTCTCACTACCTTCTTTTATTTTAATGGTACTAAATTCGAAGGTTATGAGAAGAGTTGTAGTAAAAAGAGTCTATTTTTGATTCTCATCCTCCAGCCACTCAGTCTCCTCTTTGGAAGCAAATTTTGGTGTCCCGTTTCTTGTGTATATTTTTAGAACTATTATATGCAGTCACAACTATGATAATGTACAGATTTCTTTTTAAAAAATACATGAATGGGGGTTGCCTGGGTGGCTCAGTCGTTAAGCGTCTGCCTTCGGCTCAGGTCATGATCCCAGGGTCCTGGGATCGAGCCCCGCATCGGGCTCCCTGCTCTGTGGGAAACCTGCTTCTCCCTCTTCCACTCTCCCTGCTTGTGTTCCTGCTCTTGCTATCTCTCTCTCTCTGTCAAATAAATAAATAAAATCTTAAAAAAATAGAAAATAAATAAAAAAATACATCAATGGTAGCTTATTACATATACTATTATTCTGTATTTTGTTTTTGTTTTTGCTTTTTGCTTTGTTTCATTCTGTGCATCTTTGGATAACATTGCATATTAGTACTTAAGTAGTTCTGCAAAGTAGTCTTTTTTATTATTTAACCCGTCACCCTATTGTTGGGTATTTTAATTATTAATAATATCCTACTATAATACAACAGAACAAATAATTCTATAATGAATATCCTTGTATGTACATTACTTTTTGCAAACATACCTCTAGGATAAATTCCTAGAAATGGGCTTGCTAGATCAAAGGCTATATTTGAGAGCTATTTGTATTAGCTTTTCTATAAATTTTGCCCTTTTTTCTATTGATTGATACTTTTCTTACTGATTTGTATTGGATTTTGGTCCTTTTCTCTTTGATTCTTAGATGCTTTCTAGATATGGGCTTGACTTTTTGTCTCTGGTTATTGCTATTATTTTTTGCAGTTTGCTGTCTTGTCACTTTACTTATGATATTTTTCTTTTTTTTTTTAACTGTATAGAATTCCTTTTTTTTTCCTTAGTTAAGAATTTATCAGAGGTGTGAGTGTGTATGTGTCTGGCTTTTGGCTTTTGAGTTATAAGGGTCTCTCTCATGCCAAGATTATTTAAAAATTCTAATTTTTCTAGTACTTTTATTGTGTCTAAACTTTTTATTCCTCCAAGTGATTTTGCTGTACAGACTGGGGGAGGAATTCTTATTCTTTTGTCTCTGTAATCAGTTATTACAGGACATTTATTAAATAATCTGTCTTTTCCCCAGTGATACTAGGTCATCTTTACTGAATTTCCATTTGACCTATCCTACTCTATTATCTATGTATCTATCTATTCATGTACCAAATATAACAGTTTTAATTCTCTTAACTTTATAATACATTTAAATTTCTTCATTACTCTCTTTCAATTTAAATTTCTTCATTACTCTCTTTCAAGCTTTAATTGGCATTGCCTGTATTCTTACTTTAAATGTTTTTTTGTGCACATTTAACCTGAATTTAAGAAATTCTTTATTGTAGTTGCGGATAAATGGTGAAAAATTAGAAGAACTCTTATCTGAAAGAGCCATACAATTTCGGGCCATTCAACGCCGACTATTGACAAGATTCAAAGATAAAACACCTGCCCCCCTCCAACACCTGGACACCTTGCTAGATGGAACTTACAAGCAGGTAAATATGATATCAATGATAGTTTCCACTACTGGATATAATTTTTATCCCTAGCCCTAGAGTCATGTATTAGAATATCAAGATAAGGTATTTCTTTCCTGTGTACTGTGGAGCAGTGAATAGCACATAAGCTTTAGAGTCAGGAAAACCTGGGTTCAAATGTCCAGCTTTGCAACTTTCTAATTATTGATCTTGAACAACTTACATAAGATTCATCAGTCTCCACATTTTACCCAGAGTTATTGTGAAGGTTTTTGATCATTATGTGAAGAAGCCGGCAGCACAATGCCAGGCACATAGTATGTGCTTGATAGATAGTAGCTATTTGCTTGGTGTTATTATTAAATAATTCTTGGTGCATCTCATAATTATCACTATGATTCCCCAATTGTCCTACTGAGCAACTGGCTTACACTTCCATTATTACGTCATTTGATGTTTTGAGAAGGAATTCTTAAACAGCTTTTTGTTCTAGTTCCAAAAGACTTGTTTCTTCCTCTTCCTGATTCTTCTTTCCATCAACGATTCACCCTTTGCATGGCTAGGGTGATATGACTCTCATTCTTATGGTATTATGTCACCAAAAGCTGTTCAAAATTATCATCTCTGGCTTGAAATAATAATTTTTAAAATTTAAAATTTTGTGGGTAAAACCTCTGCCAGTTCCACTATAATGGAGTCAGCTTTGAATGACTACACGTCTTCTTATGCTTCTATATAATATCATTAATCTGTTCCAAAATCAGTGTTGGTGGTATGAGTATTCTGTTCATTTTTTAATTGATTTTTTTAACTGAGATAGTTATATAGTCACTTGCAGTTATAACAAAAAATACAGATAAATGTCATGCATCCTTTACCCATTTTCCTCCAGTACTAACATTTTGCAAACCTACAGTATATCACAACCAAGATATTCGCATTGATAAAATCCATGGATTTTATTCAGAATTTCATAATTTTACTTGTGCTAGTTTATGAGTATGTGTATTTTAAGTTCTATACAATTTTAGCATATGTGTAGGTTCATGTACCCACCACCACATTCAAGATATTGAACAGCTCCATCACCACAAAACTCCCTCCTGTTGCCTTTTATTGCCGCCCCCTACTCCCACTGCCCTCCTCTACTATATTCTGTTGATTTTGAATGGACAAATCAGATTTTTTTTCAGTTATCTGAAAAAGAAGAATAGCTTACCATGTAGACATCAATAAATGTATTGATGATACAGTTATTTCTTGCAATATTCATGGTTATGTGAAAATTAGAAGCAATTTGAGGGACAGTCTGTAGAAGCAGTAGGGTATTAGAAAGAACACAGGGCTTGGAGTTCAAAGACCCCAGTTCTGTCATTTATTAGCTGTGTAGCTTTTGTCAGTTCCCCGACCCTCTCCGAGCTTCGCTTTCTTTCCATAAAATGGAATAAATGCTATGTTGTTACAAAGATTGTATTCGCTGATGTATGTGGAAATGCTTGGTAAATTGTGTTACAAATCTAGACAGCCAGCTTCCTTTGTGCCGGAGCAATTAGGACTCCTAAGTCAGTGGGCACTGGTAATGCTCTTTCTCTCCCACCCTTCTTTCTCTCTTAAGTACACTTTTTCTTTTGGTTTGTTTTTCATTTCCTTTCTTTTTTTCCTCCTCTCCCTTCATGTCTCTTCGATGACTTAATCTGTCTCATTCTTAGGCCATACCTGCTGTGCTTGGGGTAAAGATATGCTGACTCTTGTCTTTAATGATACCTTACATTTTTTGTGGACACAATGGCGGAGGGTGTTTAAAGGAATTTGGTGAGGATATTTGATTTAATGCTTTCTATATTTTCTATATAGCAAGACTTCCTTAGTATTTTATATGTTTAAAGTGCTAGGGGTTTTTGTTTTTGTTTTTTGTTTTGTGGGGTTTTTTTTTTGCTTAGCCTCGGTGTTGGGTTTTTCCATGATTTATAATACAGACAAGATGATCAAAACCATGGGTTTTAGCTCAAATCCATATTTTTAAGTCTCTATGCATTTTAGATTAAAAGAGAATGAATAAGCTTTTGAAAGATATGAATACTATAAGGAACTTGACTTACTTTTAATGTAATTTACTATTCAGTTTTATATGTTCATGTTAAATTATAGTGAGATATTGATTGTTCTCTATTTTAACTCTCTTTAGTTAACTTTTAATGACATAGCTAATTCATGAATATAATTTCCCAAAGAAAATGGTAAGATTATACACAGTGCTAAATTCTCTATCATGGCCCTTGATCATCTCCTCAAAAATGTAATCACTTTTATATTTTTGTGTATTTCCAGACTTTTTTTTTTTGCGTTCAGAAATGAAGTATTGTTTTGTGAGGCTAAAATAATCCATAAATAGTATTGTACTATATGTATTGGTATACTTTTTAATTTTTCTTCTAACAGTATGTACTAGAGCTCTTGCCATATTAATGTATAGATCTACCTCTCTGTGTGTTATGTAGTATATAGATATTCTGTAGTATGGACAAACTACAGTTTATTAAAGAACAGATCTTAATAGTAGTTTCAGTGTTGAGTCAACAGTGAGAAAAATCCTTTTTGGAGAGCTCTACTGTGACCAAACAGGCATATGACATACTTCACTATCACATACTTTCTGTACCTAGTATAAATTTTTCTTATCTTTATACTTTGCCTGGGTAGGGGGCATGATTTAATTGGCAGATTAGCCAAATGCACGAAATAATAAGCAATGCTAGAGTCTGATCCTACTTTCCATGGCATGACTGTCAGTAGATCTTTTAAAGTGTTTTCCTAATATAGCAGTTTAAAATTAGATCTGTTACCTGTGTAAAATCCTTGTTTTTTCATGTGTAGGGAGCATTTAATTTTTTTTGTTAGTCCTTCTGTGAGTCTTAGTGCCACTTTAGTTCAACCAGGAACAGTGAGAGAAGCACTCTGAGCTGTCCAGTGAAAGATTTACATTTTATTGCACTTAACTGGAGGATGTTACATTGTTAGCATTTAATGAACAGTGATAATTGGCTTATGTGAAAATAGAAGCAGAAGCCAGTATCCTTCTAAAACTAGTGTGTAAACTCTGAAGGCAAGAACTATTTTTTTTTGCCTATTTACTGCTATATTCTTAGGATGATACATTTCTTGCCACATTATAGGTGCTTAATAAATATTTGCTTTATGAATGAATTCTCTATTGCCACTAATATAATTTATTGAAACTATGTTTTTGATAAGGGCAGCACTACAAAGAACAGATTGGTAGAGAATTCTTTGAGTTCAGGCTCATGAATCACTGGGATGGTTTGTTTTAAAATCCCCAAAAGCCACTGAAGGAAACTCTCTTCTGTCTTCCTAAATAATTTAGTTGGAGGACTCAGGTAAACTGTCATAGCTAGGAAAGTTTTATAGCTGCAAATTCTTGACTAAGAAAATCCTTTCTATTTTTTTTATGAATATGTGAATGCCAATGTAAATTTGAAATAATAATCTGTTGAAATACCTATGTACAGGTAGAACATTGTTGAGGTTGAATCCCATCATGTTCTGAGTGGCATAAGAATTAATTGGGTTCTTTCAATATTAATGTATGTCCAGAAGCATGAAAAGTTTAATTCTCTTCATTTCTTATTTACATAATTGTTGAGTTCTTCCTCTAGGAAGGCAATTCCTTTCATGTCTTTGAGCAGCTAGGATAGGATATAGAAATGTACAACTGGAGGAAGTTTGGGGGTCTTACACGTATTAGGAGGTCTAGGAACTGTTATGGATTCTAATAAAGTTTGTAGGACAAACTGAAGTGAAGACCAAGGTACTTCATATACAAATGGTTAAGCATTGCTGACTTGGCTGTAATGTGAATTAGTTTGTATAGTATACTCATTCAAGTAAACAATTCATCAGGTGCAGACGTAGGTAAGGCCAGGGTAAGCCGTATAAGATCTGTGCCCTTGGTGTTTAGCAGAAACTGCAGGTACCACTAGCTTACATAGTGAGCCCATGAAGGAGGCCTCTGATCTTTGAATGACTCGGGGTTTAGGTACCTTTGATTCTGGTCCACAAGAGCCTACTAGAGAAAGCCACTGCTTCTAAGGTTGCAGTAAGACATCCATCATTGTTTCCTTTAAATACATGCTAATAAGTGCTTTAGGGTTTAAAGTGGCATATCTGATGTGTCCTAGTAAAATGGTTAAGAACTCTATGTCTAGAGTTAGCTTGCTTGTCTTCTAGTCTTGGCTCTGTGACCTTGGGCAAATTACTTAAACAAAGAGAAAACAAAACCCATCCTAAGCATCAGTTTTCCCACCTGTAGCATGCTTCCTCTTTCATGGGGTTGTTATGAGGACTGAAATCTGTAAACACATAAATTGCTTAGAATAGTGCATGGTACAGAATGAGCTCTCAAAAATGTTAACTACAACTCTGGGGGACTCTTCTTCATTTTTATTTGACTAATAAGTTATGCCATCTCAAAACAATGCTATTCATTTTTCAGACAAAAGAGGTTATAATAATTCATCATCTTTCTGAAACTCTGCTATCTGGCAACCTCATAAATCTAGACCTCAGCCAAGAATAAGGAAGATCCTGTATCCTCAGGCACATCCCCACACTCCTTTGTGTGTTGTTTGGTTCCAGAGAGGATCCCAAAAGGGGAGGGGCATCAGGATCATGAGGTCAAGTGGCTGTCCTTCCTGAATCTCTGATTGTTTCATCTGAATGTCTCCCTAGAGGAAAAACAAACAAACAAAACATCACACACACACACACACACACGCAGGCGTGCGCACACATGTGTGTGTGTACTTACACATACATACTGCTTTGCAGAAATGTTGTACCAAATGATAGTTTCACTAACAGTATATGAAAATGTCTGTTTTCTAGGTATTATTGTTTGGATCTTTACGATTTTGAACTGAAAAAAGAATTTTATTACTGTTTTATCTTTCTTTGCTTACTAGTGACATTGAATATTTTTAAAATGTTAATTAGCCATTTGT